AACTTCCTCCATAACCCCTCACATAAGATGCTTTGCAGGTTTACTTTACTTAGTGTCAGTCTCTTTCCATTAGGCTGTATGCTTTACGGCTGCAGGATTTTTGTCATTTTCTTCTACCACTGCTAGATTTCCAGCACCTAGCACAGGGCCAGGCACATAGCAGGAAATCAGCAACTATTTATCAGATGAATGGATAAACTGTTATTATATAATGAATGCATTTGTTTATGTGTATGCAGACTATGATGGTAGAGATTTTTGCCTTCATCACTATTGGTTCCTCAGACCTAGAATGGGGCAGAGCACAACGTAGCAACTCTAATATATAATGAATGAAGGAAGGAAGAAATGTTTCTTCACAGCTTGGTGTAGCTCCTTCCAGGAATTTTCTCAGTATTTATAGATCTATATATGTTTATAAAACAAACCAACTTCAAAAAACCTCAATGTGATCACTTGAACTTCCCATGGCATAAATAGTAATCTCTGTTTTACAGAAGGACACTCATTCCCTATCTTTTTCAGATGTAATGTATCTTTTCTCCTCAGATGCATGAGCGATGAGATACATGACAACATCCCTGATAACAGTGACTTATTAAAGTAATGATTTATAAGAGGAGGGGTGGAGAGAGGGCTGGACAATGCACCCCTCCCTCCATGGCACTATATCAGAATCTGGGCCAGGAATGTGGAATTGAAGGGGAGTAACTGTGTAGTCTGAAAAATTTCCCAAGATGATTCAGATATGCCCTGCCTCGCCTTCTGGAGAAGCTCTGAATTGCAATGTACTTTTTCATCTAATCTCTTTTGTTAAAGTGATTCATCGTTTACTATAAAAGTGCCACCATAACCTACTGAACCTATCTTCATTGTTGGCATTAGGACTTCTAATTGTTTGCGTTGAAAATAACAGCGGTACACATGCTTTATGCTATCACTGAAGGGACTTCTTTTTCATTGTGCATTAACTGTTTGGTGACCACACACCTCAGTGTCCATGAATGAGGGACTTCTGTGCTCCATGTTCCAGTGCATGCAGCAGTACTGTGCTGACGCAAGAGGTGAGGACCCCAATCTCAAAAGAGGTCCCCTGCACTTCCAGAGGCTCCTAAAATGAGTGAACATCAAGACAGAACCAAATGCTATCTTTGGCTCTCTATTCTTCAGTCAAACAGGCAACCTGGAGATTTGTTGATGGTGTCTACTGGGATAGAAGTATTACCAATAGTTCTGTTTTCTCCAAACAGGAGGCTAGAGACCCTCTGAGAAGCACCTCACTTCACTGGAGCACAAAACAACCCCATTTGCGAGACCTCCACAGAACCAGCTACACTCCACAGTGACCTCGGTCAGTTCACGAAATTCTTTGGCGTGTGCTTTTCCTTTATCATTTCCTTAATTAAACTGGAGTAAAAACAACTACTTAATTGGAATAATAACAAAGACTATTATGATCTCACTATACTGTTGGGAGGAAGAACTAAGTGAATAATTAAAAACTTGATAAGGGTTTTAAACATGCAAGTAGTTAAGGGAAAGTAATGCAAAGTGATTATGGGACACTCTTGAGATAACACTCCAAGTAAGTGCTGAAACTCATGAACAAGCAGCAGGTCACTCTGGAATTTCAGGAACCTGCTTGGAGAAGATAGAGAGCCTTATGAATGACTGTACAGACAGGGAGATAGAGTTTACTCCTTTGGTATTCTGTGACCCCAAACAGACCAGATATTAGCTGTCAAAGAATCTACACAAATCTGGTTACTACCTAGATGGTACTTGTTAGATTTTCTGAAGACTTAATGCTTTCATTGAGTAGATGACACTACAGAAACACTACACCATGTGCACAAAAGATGAAAGGGCAATGATGTTAGGTGTAACCTATTTTTTTTTTTTTTTTTTTTTTTTTTTTTTTGCGACGGAGTCTCACTCTATCCTCCATGCTGGAGTGCAGTAATGCGATCTTGGCTCACTGCAACCTCCACCTCCTGGGTTCAACCTATTCTCCTGCCTCAGCCTCTGGAGTAGCTGGGATTACAGATGCCCATCACCAAGCCTGGCCAATTTTTTGTATTTTTAGTAGAGATGGGGTTTCCCCATGTTGGCTAGGCTGGTCTCGTACTCCTGACCTCAAGTGATCTGCCCACCTTGGCCTCCCAAAGTGCTGGGATTACAGGTGTGAGGCACCGCGCCTGGCCAGCTGTAACCTAAATTTTAATAACAACTAGAAATAGCCTTAATGCTTAAATAAATAGATTTTTATATACCCAAGGAAAGATTTCCAAGTTGCAAAGAAAAAAGAAATTAATTCATCAAACGACTTACCCTATTTTTCTAAGAAGGGGGGAAACTTGGGGGTCGAGGGGAAGGTTGGAGGTGGTGAAGAGTAATTTTTACTTTTCATTTCATTCATATAATTTGAAATGTTTATAGTGATAATATAATTCCCTCTGAAAAAGTATATTTTATTTATGTTGGGCCATTTTCCCTACACAACACAAGATTAAAACTTCATTATTCTCTGACTCCTGCTTAAGTACTAATATACTGTTTAACCTCTTGCCTACTAGTTCTGTTTTTTTTTTTTTTTTCCATTGCCATGGACATAAGCATTCATGTCACCCTCTTTCCTGGAAACTCAGTGTTTTTTTTCTTTAGGATTTCTGTGTACTTTTCCATACCAGCTATGCTCCTAGACAAATCACTACTATGCTGCCTCCTTCCTGGGTTTTAAAAATATAATTACTTCTGGCAATTAAATTACTTCTTGTTGTTGTTACTCCAATTTAATTAAAGAGATTATATTCTAAACCAGATTTCAGACCCAAAAGCAAGAAAGAAATTGGAAGTGGCTAACACTTCATTTGTTCAGTATGGAGCAGCAACTCTCCACAATCCCCATTGATTCACACAAAAAAGAACTTTCCGTTTTGTTCTGAGACAGGGTCTCTGTCACTCAGGCTGAAGTGCAATGGCATGATCAAGGCTCACTGCAGCCTTGAGTTGGGCTCAAGCGATCCTCCCACCTCAGCCTCCTGAGTAGCTAGGACCACAGGTACCCACCTCCACACCCAGCTAATTTAAAAAAACTTTTGTAGAGATGGGATCTCATTATGTTGCCCATGCTGGTCTCAAATTCCTGGACTCAAGTGATTCTCCCACCTCAGCCTCCCAAAGTGTTGGGATTACAGGCATGAGCCACTGTGCCTGGCCAAAAAAGATTTCTTTAAAAATGTATTCTGTCATATTCTCATACTTTTGAATTTCACGGAACAGACTCAATGAAAATTAAAAGTATCTGTAAAATGTGACAGAATGTTGCCAGGTAATCAGTAAAAAAGCCCCCCCAAAAAAGGATGAAACCTACACCTTCATGGCATAAAACGAAGTACATTTTCATCTTCCAAAAATTAACATTATCAGGCATGGTGGCTCACGCCTGTAATCTCAGCACTTTGGGAGGCTAAGGCAGGTGAATGCTCGAGCCCAGGAGTTTGAGGCCAGCCTGGACAACATGGCAAAACCTCATCTCTACAAAAAGTACAAAAAATTAGCTGGGTGTGGTGGTACGTGGCTATAGTTCTAGCTACCTGAGAGGCTGATTGTTTGAGCCCGGGAGGCCGAGGTTGTAGTGAATCAAGATTGTACCACTGCACTCCAGCTTGGATGAGAGACTGAGATCCTGTCTCAAACAAAAAAACAAAAATTAACATATCCTCAGAATACAGGACAATTCTTCAGGTTCATCTAGCTTTATGAGAAGAAACTAGATTTATAAGAAACCTACCACCTTACCTCATTTTATCATTTTTAACTTCCTACCAACAGAACAAAATTTATCATAAAATTTTTCATCAAACTTAGGAAAGTGGGGAGAGGGGGTCAGCACATAAGAAGGGCTTTCAGCTCCATCAGTAATGATTTCACCTCAAGCTAGGTAGAGAAACATAGGTATTACTTCTTGTTTTTGCTTTGTTTTGTTTTTGTTTATGAGATGGAGTCTCACTGTTGCCCACACTGGAGTGCATTGGTGCGATCTTGGCTCACTGCAACCTCTGCCTCTGGGTTCACGCGATCCTTATGCCTCAGCCTCATGAGTAGCTGGGATTACAGGAGCACATCACCGAGCTCAGCTAATTTTGTTTTGTATTTTTAGTAGAGATGGGGTTTCGCCACGTTGGCCAGGCTGGTCTCAAACTCCTAACCTCAAGTGATCCACTTGCCTCAGCCTCCCAAGGTGCTGGAATTACAGTCATGAGCCACTGTGCCCAGCCGGTATTACATCTTATAACATTTTTTGTTTGTTTGTTTGTTTTAGATTGTGAACTAAAAAAATAGTTCTATCATGAGATGGATTTGAGAAATTACTGATCTAGTTGAATGCATCCATTTCAGGATACAGTTAAGTGACTTGCCCAAGCAGACCTCAGAGAACAAGTCAAGGACTCTGTATTATTTTCAGCAGTCTCTGTGCATGTGAATGGAATTCAGGTCCCTGTACTGTTAATTATTTCCTTAAGCATTTGTTTGTATTTTATGCTCTATTCAAATTAAGGCATCAAACTGCATAAAATTCAATTATTTCCAAGTCTGTAGAAAACATTATTGCTACATAAAATGTAATAGCAAATGTTTGTCATATTTCAAATAATAGGAATCTTAAAAATATGTTGAGTGAGAAACAGGCTTATGTATTAAAATATATTACCCGTGTTTTTCAGCTTCAAATTGATCTAAGAGGCTTTGAGGAATAAAGGAAGGCGACTCTATCCTTCATCTTCAAAGAAAACAGCTCTACAGTATCTATGGTAACTTGGTCCTCAGACCAAGACAGTAGAGAATCTCTTTCAAATGATAATGTTTTGATAGGTCTCTTCTCTTTTTATTCGCTATCTCTAATCACCAGAAATGTAAAAAACAGAAAAAAAAACACACACGAAAACCAAAAATAACAGAAAAAAAGAGGGATGCTAACTGGGTCTGTGGATACATACCTCACAGCAAAGTGCAAAACGGTTGGGCCTGGTTTCTTGGGCAAATCATGGTCAAGAACTCGGTGGTCTAACTGTAGCCAGTTCTGCTGACCTCTGTGAGAGCAAAGCAAAGAAAAAGGATTCAACAGAAAGTCAGAAAAGTTCAGCAACATACAGTGTTGGCAAAGCTGTGGGGAAATCATTGCTCTCATACACTGATGGTAGGAGCACAACCTGTTACAACTGGTAATGAGACCAACTCAGCAATTTCTTTCAAAACTGTGAAAGCACTTGCTTCTGAACCAGCATTTCCATTTCCAGGAGTATATCAAGGCAAACTTGCACATGTGAGAAATAATTTGTATATGAAATCACTCGCTGTGGCATCATTTGAAATAGCAAAAGGTGTGGAAACGACTTCAATGTCCAAGAGGATATTGTTTAAAAAAATTATTTAAAACTATAGAGTGGCCAGGCGCCAGTGGCTGATGCCTGTAATCCCAGCACTTTGGGAGGCCGAGGCGGGCTGGTCACCTGAGGTCAGGAGTTCGAGACCAGCCTGGCTAACATGGTAAAACCCTGTTTCTGCTAAAATAAAAAAAATTAGCCAGGCATGGTGGCGTATGCCTGTAATCCCAGCTAGTTGGGAGGCTGAGGCAGGAGAATCACTTTAACCTGGGAGGCAGAGGTTGCAGTGAGCCGAGATTGCGCCATTGCACTCCAGCCTGGGCAACAAGAGTAAAACTCCGTCTAAAAAACAAACAAACCCCCAACCCCCTCAAAATAAACAAACAAACAAAACTATAGAGTGAAATACAATGCAGCCATAAAATAGGCTGAAGAACATGGGTGTGGTGCCACACACATGTAGTCCCAGTTATTCAGGAAGCTGATGCAGGATGATTGCCTTGAGCCCAGGAGTTCGAGGCTGCAGTGTGCCATGATCACAGCTGTGAACAGCCACTGTACTCCAGCCTGGGCAACATAACCAGACCCTGTCTTTAAACAAACAAACAAAAAGCCAGAAAGACTCTTTATAAACCTATTTTGAACAATTTCCAAGGTACAATATTAAATGAAAAAGCAAGACGCATAGCAGCAAGTATACAGCCATTTTTTAAATTAAACAAAGAACAAACATACATATGTGCATGTATATATTACAAAAAGCTGAGAGGAAAAACAAAAAACTGGTAACATTAGTTGACTTTCGAGGTAAAAAAACTAGGCCATATGTTAATATTACATTTTTATGAAATATGAAATATTTTAGATAATCAAGGAGAAAACTTCTGGTTCAATGAAATACAACACACAGGTTGGGTGTAGTGGCTCACGTCTAGCATTTGTAATCCTAGCACTTGGGAGGCCAAGGCAGGCAGATTGCTTGAGCCCAGGAATTTGAGAGCAGCCTGGGCAGCATGGTGAAACCCGATTTCTACAAAGAATACAGAAAAAATTAGCCTAGTGTGGTGGTGCGTGCCTCCTGTCCCAGTTTCTACAGAGGCTGAAGTGGGAGGATCACTTGGACCCAGGGAAGTCAAGGCTGCAGTGAGCTGTGATCATGCCACTGCATTCCAGCCTAGGCAACAGAATGAGACCCTGTCTCAAAACAAAAGCAAAAACAAAAACAAAAAACCAGACACACAACAATAACACAGCTTTTTTAAAAAGTACAGGGTTGATGCTAGGCACAGTGGCTCATGCCTCTAATCCCAGCACTTTAGGAGGCTGAGGTGGGAGAATTGGCTGAGGTGGGAGGATTGCTTGAGCCCAGGAGTTTGAGGCTGCAGTGAGCTATGATTGTGCCACCACACCCCAGTCTGGACAACAGAAGGAGAACTTGTCTCAAAAAAAAAAAAAAAAAAAAAGGCCAGGCACGGTGGCTCATGCCTGTAATCCCAGCACTCTGGGAGGCCAAGGTGGGCAGATCACTTGGGGTCAGGAGTTCAAGACCAGCCTGGCCAACATGGTGAAACCCCGTCTCTACTAAACATTCAAAAATTAGCTGGGAGTGGTGGCGGATGCCTGTAATCCCGGCTACTTGGGAGACTGAGGCAGGAGAATCACTTGAAGCCAGAAGGCGGAGGTTGCAGTGAGCCAAGATCGTGCCCCTACACTCCAGCTTGCGTGACAGAGCAAGACTCCATCTCAAAAAGAAAAAAAAAAGTACAGGGTCGAATACTCTCTGAGTGCCACTTCTGTATATATATTATGGGCTTACTAAGATTTAAGCATGTACTTGCTTATTTTACTTACTCAAGAGCCTCACCAAGTTCATAAACAGTTCTCTCTAGATTTTGACCCTTGAGGTATCAAAAGGACACTGGGGCTCAGAACTGTTTACGTGCCTTTTCTGAGGTTGTCCAACTAGTTCATCCATGTTAGGCTGTAAATTCCCAGAGGGCATAGACCCTCTTTTACTTGCTTACATAAAATTCAATCTAAGAACATGCTGATGGTGTCAAAATGTAATAAAATCTAGAATGGGCCAGAAGACATTTTCAAAAATTTAGTCCTTGAGTAAAAAATTAAAAAACAAAATCAGAAAATTCTAGGCTGTATTCATTATAAGTAAACAGGAAAAGTGAGAATAAATAATAATATTAGCAGTAGTAATAATAACAATAGCTAGTCTCTATTGAGCAATGACCCTGTGCCAACCAAGTTGGAACTCTTTATACATTAAAGCTATATTTTACAATAAGCCAGTGAGGAAAGTGCTAGAGCTGGGATTTGAATTCAGGACTTCCTTTCTTCCTCCCTACTCCCCGCCACCCCACCCAGTGGACTTGTATATAAAAGTACCCAGGACTTTCAGTACTGGAGAAAACGAGACCAGAGGGTTGAATCAGCTTTCATTTTATTTATTTATTTATTTGTTTTTATTTTTTTGAGACAGATTCTCGCTGTGTCGCCCAGTCTGGAGTGCAGTGGCGCGATTTCGGCTCACTGCAAGCTCCGCTTCCCGGGTTCACGCCATTCTCCTGCCTCAGCTTCCCGAGTAGCTGGGACTACAGGCACCCGTCACCACGCCCGGCTAATTTCTTTTTTTTTTGTATTTTTAGTAGAGACGGGGTTTCACTGTGTTAGCCAGGATGGTCTCGATCTCCTGACCTCGTGATCCACCCACCTCAGCCTCCCAAAGTGCTGGGATTATAGGCTTGAGCCACCGCGCCCGGCTGAATCAGCTTTTATAATGACTTCTGACTCAGTCTCTGATACTTAGCCGGTTAAACGCTGGAAAGAGTGTGTCTTTGTTTCCATAGTTACAAGACAAGGCTTTTGATACCTGTTCCCAGCTTTCCTTGCAGGAATATTATAAAGATAAATAAGCTGATTAAGTAACACAAGGGGAGGTCCTTAGAACTACTGCACTTGTGTGTAAAACATAATAAGATAGGAGACTGACATTAAGAGAGTCTTACACTATATTTCATCAAGTTTAGGATGCCACTGATTTAAAGACACATCCTAGTTTCACAGATGGTCAAATGTGTGTCTTAAAATATATAACATATTTTATAGTATCAGATCTCAAAAGTTTTCTTAGGAAAGATGTATGATTTTAAAAGCATAACAGGCTAGACATGGTGGCTCACACCTGTAATCTCAGCATTTCAGGAGGTTAAGGCAGGAGGATCACTGGAGCCCAGGAGTTCAAGGCTGCAGTGAGCTATGATCATGCCACTGCACTCCAGCCTGGGAAACAGAGTGAGACCCTGTCTCTAAAAAGAAATTGAAAGCATGATGTATATTTGTATGAACTTGCATGGAATGGTGTCTATGAAAGAATGAAGCAAGTTGTACAATAACACATACAGCATAAACCAATTATGTTAACCACAGATGCACGCTCAAAACACTATTAAATATTGATGAACATTTTTAGATATATTTCTGGAGAGTCACACAGCAACTTGTTAGTACTGGTTACCTCTGTGGAAGAAACTACAGTTGCAGTGGGAAGGTAATCAAAAGGGACTGGACTCAACCATGACATTAAAGAAGATATTCATGCATATATAATATGAAATAGTTTTTTAAAAGGATAAATTACAAATTAGATTTAAAAAAAACCTACCCACAATCTCATCAAGAGGAAAAAGTCTAGAAGAATTTTTTTTTAAATGCCCATAATTCTACTACTGGAATGTAATCAAGGTTACTTATTGCTTATAACTGGCTTTTGTCAGGTTTTCCCATCAGTAAATATAATAGACCTAACCAATATCTTGAAAAGACAGCCATATCCACCCCTATCAGGAGTGCAGACCAACCACAAAGCAAGTTTTATTTTTGGCTAGAATTATATCAACAGAAGGCCCATTGTCACAGTCCCATTGGAAGGGACAGTGATCAAAAGTCACAGTTGTGTTGTAAAGTCCATTTGTTATTTCTTGGTTAACAAAGCTTATTTAGCAAAGCCTTTCAAAACATGAGAAGGCAAAACAAAAAATGAAATGGGTGAAGAGATGGAACCATTATGGTGACCTGAAGGGCTGGTGCCTCAGGAGGGCCGTGACTGCCCTCTAGGGGTGAAAGACTCACTTTGCACACAGAGCTGCGCAAGGCACTAACAAGCGTAATCTCAGAAACTCTATCCATCTCCCCATAACGTGACCTTGAATCTGTTGTTGGTCATCATCACTGCTTTTATTATGTAATTGCCATCTATTTTTCCGTTTCTCCTCTTGGTCTGTGGATGAGTTGTAGACAGTAGCTACTTTCATTGACAAAATGTTCCTTTCAGCTTTGCCTTCCTCTATTTAAAGTTCACCAAAGGCAAAAGACGCTTGTGGCATCTAGGCTGGAAAATGCAACTCAGACGGCATCCTGGGAGGGCCCTCACTCAGTGGTTTTACGGGGGCGAAGGGAGGCAGGAGGGAAGTGCTGAAAGAAAATACTTTCCAAAAATATTTACCAGACAAAGAAAAAGCACTAGGCTTGTGACCAAGACATTCCAAGGAGACACCCTTAGACATCAGCAATTTTCCAGGCCCGCTCCCCAGAAAGGTAGAAATGGCCAATTTCCACCCCCTCAACAGCCCCGCTCATACTTCTTCTGAAAATAAACACGACTAGAGCCAGGAGACACCTCCCCAAACTGGTCATAATTCAGAAAGAGACTCTGCCTTTGCTTGCAGGGGAGTGCACAGAGGACATTTTGGAGCCAGGGTTCTTGGAAAGAACATAACTATAGTTATCTCCTTTGGCTCAGCCAAAGGCTGTGTGAGCCATTCTTCTCCCAGCATAGTTTTGAGAAAGAAATCTCAGAGCAGACAACGAGAAGGGTGGCCCAAATAATTGAAGGAAGTCATTCCTATTATTCCTTTTCTTTTTTCTTTTTGGACAGAGTCTCACTTTGTCACCCAGGCTGGAGTGGCACAGTCTCGGTTCACTGCAACCTCCACCTCCCGGGTTCAAGTGATCCTCGTGCCTCAGGTGCCTGAGTAGCTGGGATTACAGGCGCCTGCCACCACGTCCAGCTAATTTTTGTATTTTTAGTACAGATGGGGTTTTGCTGTGTTGCCCAGGCTGGTCTCAAACTCCTGACGTCAGGTGATCCACCCACTTCGGCCTCCAAAGTGTTGAGATTACAGGTGTGAGCCACCACACCTGGCCTATTATTTCTTTTCTTTCTGAAGAGAAAGTCTTACAGTCTGAACCCCTTACTTATGCAGTCTGGTTTATATTCCACTGAGCTTGGAGCTTTTCCCGAAGCCTCCCATGTGGCCAGGACCCTCTTTTCCAGTCTGCCACAAACATTGCAGCCTGAGGGACCTCTGACACTGCAAGTCAAAAGCCACATTCCTCCTCCCTATAACATCCTTCCATGGCCTGGATGTGCCTCCTCTATCTGCGTGACTAACAAGGCTCACCTATGATCTTGTCCCCATGATCAGGCCAACGTCTTCAACCTTGGGCAAATGTACCTTGTTCGTTGCCATGTTCATGCATTTGCCCACAAAATAACTCTTGCCTAGAATGTCACCTCCCATCTCCCCTCCCATCTATTTAAAGTCCACCTGACCTGCAAGATCCAATTTTAGTTAGTCGTCTGTGTGACGCCTACTCCAGTCCTCCTTCAGTTTCCTTCTCAACACTCCCTTATTGCAATACATTGGGACGATAGCTCCCTTTTATTGTGGGCCTGTGAGATATACTCTGCATACCTCACCTGATTTAATAGTATTGAATACTAGTACCCTATTATAGGTGCCTTATGTAGTACATACTATATAAGTCACTATTATTATGTCCAGCATACAGATGAGAAAACTTGAGTGTCAGAGATGTTAAGTAACTGATCTAAGGTCACACAGCTAGCTATCAAGATTCTCTGACACCTGCTCCTGCCTCCCTCTCAACCCTCATCCTGTACCACTTTGCCTCTTAATCTCTGTACTCTCATCACACTGGCTTTGTTTTTGTTTGGGACAGGATCTCACTCTGTCGCTTGGGCTGGAGTGCAGTGGTGAGATCATGGCTCACTGCAACCTCCACTTTCTGGGCTCATGCAATCCTCCCACCTAAGCCTCCCGGGGAGCTGGGACTATAGGTGTGTACCACCATGCCCCCTTACTTTTTTTTTTTTTGTATTTTTAGTAGAGATGGGGTTTCACCATGTTGCCCAGGCTGGTCTGGAATTCCTAGGCTCAAGTTGGTCTGACTGCCTCAGCCTCCCAAAGTGCTGGGATTAGAGATGTGAGCCACTGTGCCCAGCCTTGTTTTTTCTTTCTCAAAAAACAAATCACAAAAGTCATGCTCAGCCCCACCTCAGGAGTTTTGCACTGGTTTTTGTTTGTAATGCCTCCCCAAATTTTTGCACAACTGGCTCTTGCTTTTCATTACATGTCACCTCCTAGATCCTGTCCTAGTCCACCCTGTCTAAAACTGACCTCAAGTTTTCTTGGTCATGGCCTTTTATGTTCTTCAATGCAATTATACTTGCTGATATTCCTTTGATTTATCTGTTTGTTTACTTGTTATGCTAGACTATACCATTGCAATACGAGCTCCATAAAAGCAGGGGCCTTGTCTGTGTTACTCCTAGCTGAATCCTTGTGATCTAGAGCAACACCTGGCATTGAGCGGGCATTCAAAAACTATTTTATTTTCTATTTTTAGAGATGGGGTCTTGCTCTATTGCCTAGGCAGGTGTGCAGAGGCATGATCATAAGCTCACTGTACCCTTGAACCCCTAGGCTCACGCAGTCCTCCCACCTCAGCCTCAGTCTCCTGAGTGTCTAGGACTAGAGTTGTACATCACCACACCTGGCTGATTTTTAATTTTTTTTTCTTTTTTTGGTAGAGATGGGGTCTCATTATGTTGTCTAGGCTGGTCTTGAACTCCTGGCCTCACGCAATACTCCCTCCCTTGGTCTCCCAAAGTGCTGGGATTACAGGTGTGAGCCACTCTTAATGTAAATATATATATATTTGAGACAACGTCTCACTCTGTCGCCCAGGCTGGACGGCAGTAGTGCCATTGTTATAGCTCACTGCAGCCTCCACCTCCTGGGCTTAAGTTGTCCTCCCACCTCAGCCTCCCGAGTAGCTGGGACTACAGATGTGTGTCACCATGCCTGGCTGATTTTTTTTATTTTTATTTTTGTAGAGATGGGGTCTCCCTATATTGCCTAGGTGGCTCTGAAACTCCTGGACTCAAGGGATCTGCCCATCTCGGCCCTCCAAAGTGCGGGGATTGTAAGTGTGAACTATCACACCCAGCCATTATTTTTCCAATGAATAAATTACTCCAATATTCATGTTGTTAACCCCTATTCTATGTGACCTCTGCCTAAATTATAGTCCTTATAGCAGTTACAATTTATACCACATAACCTAGCCATTGTATATTTATGGCTTTATGTCTCATACTGTTTGCTATGATTTCATCCACATTTGGAGTCAGCCTACATTTGTGCATGTTCAATCACTGATTCGCAGGAGTTGGTGCTGGCTATGGACATCGGCATTTCCCATTTCATCCAGTAGAGGACAGGTCATACAGAGCCTCTCAAATGGTAGCTGCTGAGTGATTCAGAGTGAGGTGAGAGATGTCTAGTGTACTCTCTTCTGCCTTGTCGAGTCCTCTTTGGGAAATATCCTCAGTCCAGAATCAAAGTTTTCAGGTTTTTCTACTCCTCCTGATAACTCAGCTGCCTGGTTTTTGCCCAGCGCAAGTCCTGAGCCTGCTGGCATATCCTGGAGGTCCTAGGCTCACAGCCCACGCAGGCTGAGAATGATCAGAAGCCACAAGATGTTACAAGCAAATTAACTCTTTCTTGAGATGATTTTCCACCTGATTAAACTGAAGAACTGAAAAACATTTAAATTGGCAGCATTATGCAAAGAATGCTGGGTGGTTGGCCAACAGATTTTATGTCTGGAACACATCTTCTTGCATTTTAATATTTAAGGAGCTCTTTGGAAATTATCTGCAGAAAGAGGAAGGATTCCTCTGATAATGTATTGGGCTGCATATAATGTGGCAAATTGGGCTGCCATAAAAAAGACAGACAGATACACACACACACACACACACACACACACACACAGACACACACACACAGAGAAAAGAGCTAGTAAGTCCAAACACATTTGCTTAGAGTGTTAAATCCCCATGAATTTTATTTTTATTTACCTGCTTTGTTTTGGGGAGCATATATATTGTTGACAAATATATACAACATTCAACAACTTAGCATAAAAGGCAAAAGGAAAAAAAGAAAAAGAAAAAGATAGTTGAGAAGGCAACATAAAATGGACCTACGTGGTAGTTTAAAAGTTCCTTCCGTATTAAACTATATACATGTTTTTTGAGTGGGCCACAAATTTGCCTTTAAGCTCTCTTGCCACCAACACCAACACATCAACTCAGTTTCAAGATGTGAGTTAATATTTAGTATTTCTATCACTGATATATAAGATAATTAGCAAGCACAATCACATTCAAAGACATGAGAAGCTACACTATAATCAGGAATAACAAACTCACTACTACAAATTTCTAAAACACTTAAACAATATTTTGAGTTCCTAAAATGGTCAGTATCCCTTTTCTTCTCCCTTTGCAATAGTCCTAGGAGAAAAATCGCAGACTAAAAACACTTTAGCTAAGCAGGACACGTTCTGAATCCTGGAGGACTTATTTCCTTTTTTGTTAATCATGGATGACAGCAAGTAGGTAGCCCAGGCAAAAGGTAAAGCAACTAAAACTATTAAAAGACTTACGTGTCATCAATGAATGTTATTCCAAAATACTCCTTTTCTTTCAGGTTGAAATGTGAAGCCACTAGGTCCAGCAACTCTCTTGCTAAAAGTTTGGGCTGTCAAAATAAAAATCTGGTTAGAAGCAATTTGGTTGCCTCTCTCTTACTGCTACCACCTTCCTCTGCCCTAAACGGTTTAAAGCACCTTTTGTTTATTTGTTTGTTTTTTTTAATTACCTGCCCTTGTTTGTGGATTAGGTTGATGTACTATAGACAATTCTTTAAGAATTGTGGGAAGGAGAAGAGATGGGAATAGGAATATCAATGAGACTATTGTTTTCATGTGTTTGCAATTTCCCCTCTAAGGTGCACTTACTAAGATGTTTTGGAAAAAATACTCTTTTATATGTAACGTGGTGCTAATGCCCAAGACAAAGAATATTAAACAGCTTTCTGCTTGGTTATCTGTGATATGTAAAAGATTGCGGGAATCATTTTGCTTCTTGGTGGCCAGTTGAAGAAGCCCAAGACTCAAAGTTGTGGGGCTGCTAACGAAAATATTAATAATAATAATAATAATAATAGTTTCCATGTATTATGCTGAACTTATATCCATTATCATTTAATCCTTATAATGAGCTATGAGGTAGGCTTTTTATTTCCATTTTATAAATGAGTCAACCAAGGCCCAGAGTGGTTAAGCACCTTGCTTGATGTTACATAGTGAGTAAGGCCAGGGATCTGAACCTAGTCTGTCTCCTTCTAAAGCCTAAGCTTTTCCTTCCTAAGATAGAGAAATTGTACCCATTCCACACATCATCATCAACAGTAACGAGCACCTAGTTAGAAGAAGGATATAATCTATAAGCTTTTGGGAAGCTTTGGATCTGCTGAGAAGAAGCATAGGCTTGGAACCAGCCAGAATGTCTGGAGTGATAATTGATGCTGGATTTGGAGGGACTGGGGAAGAAGAGGGGAATGCTTGCAGGAGGGCACTCTGGATGGATTCTTTCTGAACTTTGAGTCAAACAGCTTAGGGTATATTACGATGGCTGTTGGGGATAAAAATGGACATGATTTAAAGAAAAAAAAAAGAAAAGAAACAGGCAGACATCTAGACTAAAGGTCTACTGGGGCAAAGCTACTGTTGACTGTATTATTTCACTCTAATTGAAGCCTAAGCATAGTGGGCTAGGGACAGGCCTCAGAAGAGAAAAGAATTTAGGTTTGGTTAGAGGAGAAAATTCTAGGCTAGCTGTAGGTGTGGCCTGTCCGCAGGGACGTTCACAATTTTTAAAGACTCTTGGTCCAGAGTGTTGGGTGAATAGAAAGAGAAGCATCAACAATTGTAATATCATCAGTTGGCTGGGCGCAGTGGCTCATGCCTGTAATCCCAGCATCTTGGGAGGCTGAGGAGGGTGGATCACTTGAGGTCAGGAGTTCGAGGCCAGCCTGGCCAACATGGTGAAACCCTGTCTCTACTAAAAATACAAAAATTAGCCAGGCGAGGTGGCGGTGGCCTGTAGTCCCAGCTACTCAAGACGTTGAGGCAGGAGAATCACTTGAACCCGGGACGCAGAGGTTGCAGTGAGCTGAGATTGTGCTACTGCATTCTAGCCTGGGCAACAGAGCAATACTCTGTCTGGAAAAAAAAAAAAAGTGATTATATATATAAAATCACTTATATAGTGCCATATATTTTACAAAGAGATTTTACTCACATATATAATCTAGCTTGATTTTTAACCATAATTCTTCTGAGAAGCCTAGGCAGTTCACAGTTGATGAAACTGGGTATTTCACTTACACAATACCATGTAGCTGGACAGTGGCAGAATACAGATTCTCACCTCACAATAATCCTTTCAGGAAGTACTACGGTTCCCAATTTCCTGACAAGAGGTCAGAGAAGTAATGTCAATTTCCCAGGGTCACAGAGCTATTAAGTGTCAAGCTGAGATTGGAACCTAAGTGTCTCTGAATCCATGTCACCAGGCTGTAATTACTCTAACATATGGACCAAGTTTTCTGACTTCGAAGATGCTTTTCTCCCCCTTGATCAATTCTGAGTCATTGGCTTTGAGGCAAAGATAACGGAGAAGACTGAATACAGACTAAGAGGCTCAGAGAGGGAAGGAGAATGAGCTGTCCCTGTGTGGGCAAAGCCTACCTGGGCAAGACTTATCTGTGTAACACCCACTTGGGCAACACCTACCCGGGCAAAACCTATCTGGGCAACACCTACCTGAACCAGCAGCTCCAGTCTCCTATCATCCAGGAGGTGCACCTGGCAGTGCCTGCCTTCTGTCATCTGCAGAAACAAGATAGCAAGAGTGGTGTCAGGGCCACGGCTGGCAAGCAAACCTTTGGACTCATTGTGTCATTTATTTTAGATGAGATGTTCTCAGCCTAAAAATGGCTTTAGTTGAGTTAATAAACAGGCTTGGCCAGAAACAGATTTATTATATGGGAGTAACTGGATTTAAAAGAAGAACAAATAGCACAGGCTAGTCAATAGATTGCAAAAATAATGTCCATACAGTCCACCGAGTTCAAACAATGCACACAAAATTATTCTATGTAAAGTAGGTCTCCATCCCAGAGGAAACTACTGTATTTTTCCTGGAATTAATGTTTTATTCAAAAAAAAAAAAAAAAAGCCAGCCGGGCACAGTGGCTCACGCCTGTAATCCTAGCACTTCGGGAGGCAGAGGCAGGCAGATCGCTTGAGGCCAGGAGTTTGAGACCAGCCTGGGCAACATAGTGAAACCCCGTCTCTACTAAAACTATAAAAACATAGCCAGGTATGTGGTGCACACTTGTAATCCCAGCTATTCAGCACATCTAGATGTGTATAAGAGACAGGAGTTCGAGACCGAGACCAGCCTGGCCAACACAGTGAAACCCCGTCTCTACTAAAACTATAAAAACATAGCCAGGTATGTGGTGCACACTTGTAATCCCAGCTATTCAGTAGGCTAAGGCATGAGAATTTGCTTGAACCTGGGCAGTGGAGTTTGCAGTGAGCTGAGATCATGCCACTGCACTACAGCTTGAGTGACACAGTGAGACTCTGTCTCAAAAAAGAAAAAAAAAAAAAAACCCTTTATTCAGCTGGGCACAGTGGCTCATGCCCGTAATCCCACACTTTGGGGGGCCAATCAGGCCAATCAGGGTGGATGACTTGAGGCCAGGAGTTTGAGACCAGCCTGGCCAACATAGTGAAACCCCTTTCTACAAGTAATACAAAAATTAGCCTGGCGCAGTGGTATGTGCCTGTAGTCCCAGCTACAGGCTGGTTGGGAGGCTGAGTTGGGAGAATCACTTTGGCCTGGGAGGTTGAGGCTGCAGTAAGCTGAGATTGTACCACTGCACTCCAGCCTGGGTGACAGAGAAAGATCCTTTTCCAAAAAAAGAAAAAAATTGTATTTATTCATTGGTGTGTTTAACGTCTCTCTGGGCATGGTAGCATGCACCTACGGTCCCAGCTACTAAAGAGGCTATGGCGGGAGGATCGGTTGAGGCCAGGAGTTCAAGACTGTAGTGAGCCAGGAACACACCTTTGAATAGCCACTGCACGCAAGCCTGTGGGCAACATAGACCTCATCTCCTAAAATAAAAATGAAAAGTCTTCATTTTGGAAACTCTCCCCCTACTTTTAGTCCACCAACATAGTTTACTATCATTACCATAGTTAAGAACAGTTAAGATATATAGTTAAGAACAGTTTGATATATATATTTTTGATTATATTTAGGTTTTTATTATTCAGAATTGCAATACTAAAAAAATCTTTGAATGCCAAGATACTCCTTGATTAACTCATGTTCCAAACCATTTTATCTGCAGAAATCACCATCCTGTTAGTTTAAGCATCCTCATAGACCACTTTTATATGTATTTTCAGATATATATTTACATATTAAAATATTTCATATTATTTTACTTTAGTACATATTATGTTGAATGTATTGTTTTGCAAATGAAGCACTCTTAATATTTCTGCGTGAGTGTAACTATACAGAAATCTGACATATATGTGTGTATATGTGTGTATCCGTGTATGTGTGTGTATACATATTTTTTGTTGTTGTTGTTTCTTTCTTTTTCAATTCGAGTAGGACTATGCTTCACTTGCTGTTTTGCCTCTTGCTTTTTAAATTCAATGTTTCTTGTTGATCTTTCCAATGTCAGCACATATAGATGGACCTCATTCTTTTTAAAGACTCCATAGTATCTATCATTGTGTGGATACATGATAATTAAATAAGAGACACAGGTTGTTTCCAATCTTTTGCTATCACAAGCAATGTCACCATGAACTTTGCACATCTAGCTTTGTCCATGGATGTGGAATTGCTAGGTCACTTTTGAAAAGCACGGGCAGCATTTTGTCTCTAAGCCGCTGTACAAAATGATAAGATCTAGGAACTCAGATACATATAAACCTAATTGAAAAAGAAAGTAGCCTCCATTACTGAGTACCAACAACCTATTCAGCATTGCATGAGTGTTTTATATACATTATTTCTGAGTGGCACAGTTACCTTCTGGGATTGGTATTATTATCCCCATTTAACAGATAAATTGAGGCTCAGACTGGGATAAGTAACCTGTTTTCAATGTGAAAAATACGAATTACTGAATTTATAGTTTTGATCGAACTCGGCTCTAAGGGTCTGAAAACTAGCTCAGCTGGTCAGATCATGGTATTATGAAGATGTGGCCCACAGGAACCACTGAGGTAGTGCTAACAGGTAAGTGAGTAAGCTTTACTTTGTCTCATGGCCTCAGCCTATGTCCTTAATTCTGCAAAGCCAAGGTCAAATATACACCTTGGGTGGCAAGGGGAAAGGGAGCAAGTCTTTATTAGTTCTAGGCACTGAGCTGGGCTCTTTACATGCATTATAAAGCTCTGCAAAAATTTATGACATGGCAACATCCCCATTTTACAGACAGGAAATTGAGGTACAGAGTTTACGGTAATTTACTCAAAGTTACCTAGGCAAGAAAACAGTTAAGTCAAGATTTGAATTAATGTCTAACTTTAAAAAAAAAAAAAAAGTCATCTTTTTTTCTACTTTTCTATACCAGAGGAGGAAATAATTAAGAGAGAAATAAATAAATCTGTCAGTGTTTCTATACCAGAGGAGGATATAATTAAGAGAAAAATAAATAAATGTGTCAGTTTAAATCACTTTACTTCTTTTGTAAAACAACCTTCGAAAGCTAATCCTAGGTGTATGCCCTACAGAAAGATATAATAAAATAATGCTCAAAAGATCACACAGTATGAATCCATTAAGAAATGTCATAATTGAGAAAATATTTAAAGCTACTCTGTTGTCCCATAATCCAAATAAGTTTATTTCCTGACTTTAAAAAATCAGGCGGGGCGTGTTGGCTCACACTTGTAATCTCAGCACTTTGGGGGGCTAAGGCAAGTGGATGATCTGAGGTCAGGAGTTTGAGACCAGTCTGTCCAACATAGTGAAACCCTGTCTCTACTAAAAGTACAAAAAATTAGCTGGGCGTTGTGGCAGGTGCCTGTAATCCCAGCTACTTGGGAGGCTGAGCCGAGATCGCATAACTGCACTCCAGCCTGGGCAACAAGAGCGAAACTCCGTGTTAAAAAAAAAAAAATCATCTTTTTTGCCTTTCCATTTTGCTTTGGACCTCCCTCATATTAGTCAATATTCCTTTTAGCAACAGATAATTTTTATTCTAGACTATTCAATTGTAGATATCTTTTTGATGCACCTAACCATTTCATGACAAACTTGGGCGTTGGTGGCTAGGTTTTACTTGGTCCTGCCCCTTTGGCCTCAGTTGATTGGGCAAGGGATAGATACCTGACTCAAGCTGGGCTAATCAGAACCTCAGTCCAGGGAATCTGGAATTGGGTCTGAGAGGATTAAAAACTTGGGTGTTTATGGGCAGCCATTGCTTGTGTGTGTATGGAGAAAAGGAAAGCCAACTGCAGAAACAATGAGGGAGACAAATAGCTAGAAGGAGGCAAGAGAGTTGGGCGCGGTGGCTAGTGCCTGTAATCCCAGCACTTTGGGAGACCAAGGCAGGAGGATCACTTGAGGTCAGAAGTTCGAAACCAGCCTGACCAACATGGCAAAAGCTTGTCTCTACTAAAAAATACAAAAATTAGCTGGGTGTAGTGGTGTGCGTCTGTAATCCCAGATACTGGGGAGGCCGAGGCAGGAGAATTGCTTGAACCCAGGAGGTGGAGATTGCAGTGAGCCAAGATTGTGCCCCCACTGCACTCCAGCCTGGGTGACAGAGCAAGACTCAATCTCAAAAAAAAAAAAAAAAAAGAGGCGGCAAGAGAAATCATGTGACCTAAGAAGAAAAGCTTAAGAGACTTGTTGTCAGGGTTCCTAATGTTTTTCAGTCACTTATAGTCCTTTTCTTTCCCTCTCTTAAGCTAAGAGGGAAGATTCTGCTTTATTTATTTATTTTTGAGACAGAGTCTCACTCTGTCACCCAGGCTGGAAGGCAGTGGCACAAACATGGCTCACTTCAGCCTCGACCTCCTGGGCTCAAGTGATCCTCCTGCCTCCACCTCCTGAGTAGCTGGGACTATGGGTACATGCCATCATGCCTGGCTAATTTTTATATTTTCTTTGCAGAGACGGGGTCTCACTATCTTGCCTATGCTGGTCAAGAACTCCTGGGCTCAAGCGACCTGCCCGCCTTGGACTTCCGAAGTGTTGGGATTACAGATGTGAGCCATAGTGCCCAGCCGGATTCTGCTTCTTGCAACTAAGAGCATCTTCATAAGACTCCACAAGTTTCTGTGTCAAAACCAAAGCAAAAGGGTTCCAAAGCATAGACTCTCCAAATGATGTCATCAATATGAGAAGGTCATCTACTCATAATCACTGAGGCTCCCATTGATGACAATACACCAACCAAGAGAGGCTGACATCTAGGGAGGGGCATGAACAAACACCTGAGGGTTTGGTGGAACACCACACAGGGCAGGCTGGAGAGGGGAGCACAGATGAACTAGAGAGAAAAACACCAGGGTTACATGTCCACACAGCACACATGGTATTCAATATTTACCGAACTCTTTCCTCTGTGGAAAGATGGCTCTGCTGATAGGTTCATCACAACAGTGCTTATGAATAAATATTAGTTGGTAATATTAGAAATCGGGTAATGCCACATAATTTAAAAATCCAGATTGACAACTTCTTTTGACAAATGGTAAGACCTGGAAATTCTGGGCTTGATTTCCTCCATGGCAACATTTGGCCAAAGCAGGGCAGAGTGGGTCCTTATTCCAATGAGGTT